CGATCAAGTCCACCCTCAGCACTTGAGGCGCAGCTGGACGCCTCCTTCTCCGCTTCTTCCACACCCACGGCGGGTCTGGTTGGACTCCTGTCCAATGCGGCTAGCGGTGACACGTGGATCGACGATTACCGTTCCGTGAATGCAAAGGTCATGAATGCGGTGAAGGTCCATGACGGGTTCAAATTCACGGGGTTTGGGTCCGGTGGGATATGGCCTGTGAACAATCGGGAGAGCAATGGGCCGCACACTTTTGTAAATTACAATTTTGCTCTTGTGGCGACGGTGACCGTCCACAAAGTTCCGAAGATCAGCACCACTTTGCTGGGCGCGGTGCTGGCCGAACCCATCAGCACGCTCTTCATTGGGCTGTCGTACGGCACGGACGGTACGTGGGAGACAGTGTTCAACGGCGAGACAACGAAATCAGGCAGCACGTGGGAGCCGGGGAAAGAATACCAGGTGGCGCTGATGCTGCAGGACGGCAACAAGGGTTCCGTGTACGTGGATGGTGTGATTGTGGGGAACTTGGCGACGTTACCGACACCTGAGGTGCGGGAGGCTGAAATTGCGGACTTCTACTTTGTGGGCGGCGAAGACGAGAAAGATAAAAAGAGCAGCAGCGTGACGGTGAAGAACGTCTTCTTGTACAACCGCCCACTGAGTGTTGATGAACTAAAAATGGTCAAGAAAAGTGACGGCTCCATGCATGGGGGCGTGTCGCGGGCGCTGCTGCTGGTGATGCTGCTGGGGATGTGGGGCATTGCGGCCCTTTACTGAGAAATTGCGGTGAGGACTTCCTGCCACCGGCGTGAGCATCTGTGCCTCTCCACGCACCCTCCGAAGTAATTGCCAACTATTTTGTGGATGCACCGTTTATTTTATGTATTTTTATTTTTGTTTTGAATACCCTTTTCCCCCCATGAAAGTTGTTATGTAAGGGCGTGCTCCCCCTCCGGGGACTGCACCGCTGGTTATATATATTTTTTTGTTCTTCTCTTTCATTATATATACGTATATTTGTCTTCTTCTATATGGTGTAATTTTATGATAATGGCGGATTGTATTTAATGTTTCCGCCTGCCGATGATAAGTGCACTCGGTATTGAGCTCAACGACGATGGCGGGGTGGAAAAAAAAAGAAAAAAGAAGGCGCACTGAGCGCCCCAATGAAATTTGGGTGTTGTGTAGACAAAATAGGGCTGAACGGTCGAAGCAAATGTGTTTTTACTTTTGCATGAATAATGTACAAGCAGTCTTTTTTTTTGCCGCGTCACGATGGGATTCTTTTTTTTTTTTTTTTTTTTAGTTCTTTAATGGGTGTGCAAGCGTTTTTAAAGGGGTTTTAGAAGATTTCTAACTTATTTTTATTTTAGGAAAAATATTGTGGGTTGCCGCTGGTTGGGCTGCCGTGCCATCTCGAGCCTCAGCGGCTTTCATCCTCCCTTTTTTTCAGTCCTGCATCTTTGCTGCGTGTTTGTGTGTGCCCCTTCACGTGCGTGGCTCTCTTTTTTTCTTCTCTTTTTTTCTTTCTTTGCGTGACTGCAGGCACACACACAAACGCACGGCGTACATGTTGAGGTGCAGTTGGATGCCCTTCCTGCGCTCGCTGCTGGCAGCTGCGTCACTCCGTGGACATGAGGAGAAGGAAGGGGGAGGCAGTGAGAGTGCGCCGCGGCTCTCATCCCCTGCGGGAATGCTGCACGGCGTTTGGCGGTATTGTTTTGAGGCACCGCACCATCACGCACTAGGACGTGGCACGGAGCGGAAGATCTTTTTTTTTGCATGTCTGCTGCTGTGGGTGTGGGTGCGTTTGCGCCGGACTTGTCGGCTCGATGGCCGCAGCGTGTGGCTGTCACTTTGTTTTCTCGAGAGATACGCTGCCAAGTTTTCACGTGTGTGTTGCTTCGGGGCCAATGTGCCGGCAGCTGTGCGATTGCCGGATGGAGGGAGAGGAGTGGAGGGAATTGCGTGAGTGCAGCGGTCAAGAGTCGCGCTGGGCGTCTCGCCGCGGAGGGCACTGCCCACCCAACGCAGCGCCGCTTCTGTCGGGCATCCAATATCACACTGCAGCATCGTAGTCCACGCCAGCAGCACGCAGCGAGGCAGCGGATGCCGCCACCGCCACGAGTGCGACCGGAAGGGAACACGTCTGCTGTTACGTTCCGAGGGGGCGCTCCGTGTGGCACAGTGGCGTGCCCACAACCCTCCTCGCGGAGTCCGCACACGACACCGGGCACTGGCCGCGGAGTGTTTGCGTCATGGAGGACACTGCGGCTGATTTCCTCTTCCTTTCAGGTGGAAGGACGCCTGAGTTTCCTTTTGTTCTTACCCAGGCGGGTTGCTGCGCGACGGCACCACAACAAAATGAGGCAGCCGTTTTCACCGTGGAGGGGTGATATCTGAAGGGCACGCATTGGGAATATGAATGACGAATGCAATGAGAAAGGGAGCGTTATGGTTCTTTTGTGCTGTGCGAATTGCGGGAATATTCCATAAGACATGCAATTTTTATTTGTTCTGCGTGAGAGGCTGCCGTGATGCATCGCTGCTGTGGCGTGTAATGATCTGTGATCCCTGCGTGTGGCCGCTGCTTTACCGAATCCCCTTCCCACTTTTGTGTGTTTGTGTGTGTCAGAGACGATATGCGCGCATGTATTATTGTGGAGTGTGTGCGGTGACGGCGGCGCCACACGGATGTGAGACCGTAGCGAGCGGAATGCGTGAGCGAACCTTCCGCGCCCACCACGTTGTTGTTATTGTTGGCACCCACCAACACTGTGCTTGATGGATGGCACCCACTTGCCGTCGTTGCGGTGGTCCTCGTGCATGTGGTGTGCATCAAACACCGTGTGGATAGCTCCCTTATTTGCCTTACTGCCTGTCGTGTCTGTGCCTATAGGTTTTTATTCTTCTTTTTGTTTGTTGGTTAGTGTTCAGCTTTAGCTCAATCAAACTAAGAAAGCAAGGAGAAACAATGTCTGGGAGGCCCGAGACAGTGCATGGTGGCAATGGGGAGGGTCCCGCGCCCACTGTGCCGCAAGGAAATGGTTGGAGGAGGGCGAGGCCGGTGCTTCAGGGTGGCACAGATCAACTCGATGCGACTCGCAGAAGAATGGAGGAAGCGCGGCAACCACAGTGGACTCTTGACCGTCGTGTGGAAGATGTGCTGCTGGAGGCAACGGCTCGCAGCACCAACATGAAGCTGAATGATTTTCTTACGATGGAATTGGACGGAGAGGGCGTTGTGGACACGAATAGGAGTGTTTTGATGAAGGAGTTTTTAAAGGATCCCACGAGGTATATCCGCGATGAGGGAGTATTGAACGAGATACACGCATCATTTCGTTACAAGCGCGTCAGGAATGATCTAAGGAATAAAATGGTTTTTGATGAAGATGTACGCAAGCTTGAGGAGAATGGTGTAAATACCCTAATCGGCTGGCTAGAAGCTGCTGCGGAGGTAAAAGCATGTGTTCATGACATCACTAAACAGTTTTTGGGTGCATTCCTTGAAGAAGTGAGGAACTCAATGAGGATGAGTGCATCGAATAAACTGGAGGGGTTCTACGAGTCTGTGTACAATGCGAGGTGGAGCCATTTGGTGGAAGCTCCTGACGGCGAGGGGACGGGACTGGAAGTGAGGGAGGGGAAACCACCACAGCAATGGACGTACAAGGCAGTTGGCCGAACTCTCGAAAAGGATGACGGTGCGCAGCAATCCGGTGCAGCACGCCTCAGTCTGACGGTGCTCACTTCGGACAAGGGATGGCCATGCTCGTGGAATCGGAAGGGGGTGGAATCCACTCGTGACTGCTACGTGAACTGTGAGGTGGAGCGAGTGTGGCAGATCGTCAAGGGCGATCTAACCGAGTGGTTCAGCAGTCACGGTGAGGCTGGCTTTGGGCCTGATCCGCGTCTGTTGGTTGGGACGCCCGGGATCGGGAAGTCGATGGCTGCCGGCTCTTACCTCCTCTACCAGCTGCTGCACTATGATGTCAGGAAACTCCAAATGGTTGTTTACTTTATTGCGGATCGAACATTCCTGTTTGACAAGACCAGCAGGACGGTGTCGAAGTACATGGGCGACTCCAGTAATGCGTCTGTTGTGGGGAGTCTGTCTGACCGTGGGATGAAGGGGTATATTATTTACGATGTGACAGAGCCGGATGATGAACCGTCTAGTGATTTGCCTCCCAGGGGATGGGGCATGGTTTTGGTGTCACCCCCACTCGAGAGGAACTACAAACAATGGGTGAAGCGGAGCGGTGCCACAACAATAGTTATGAATTGCCCTGGTGAAAGCGATGTGAAGGCGATGTGCGTTTGGATGAGGCGCCATCAGCCCGTGCGGGAGCAAGCGGAGTACTGGCATGTGGTGAAGGGCCAAATGGATGAAGTGGGACCTATTCCACGTTATATCTTTGACGAGCGAAAGTATGATAATTGGGTTCAACGGTGTCACAAGACCGTCGATGTGGCGACCTCTTCTGTAATCTTGCAATACACTGACTTGGGACGTGGTGAATCCTGGGATCGTATGAAGGTGTTCTACTGGCTTGCGAGGGTTGTCCGAGTACGAGGTGTAAATTCCGGTTCTGAATTTCTTTTCAATTTACCGGTGTCTGCTCACCTCGGAAATAAAATATTATTCAAGTCGGCGAAGTTAATGCAACAGCTTGATTTTAATTTACTCATATCGGGGCTGACGGATTATCTCATATCAGAAAACTTTGGAAGGTGCACCGTGTTTGCATTTTTGAATGGATCTTTTGTGAGCAAAATAGAACGCAGGCTGAGGGAGCTGAGGCCATCACCACAACGTCAGTCCCACCGCTGTGCGCTGGCGGTGTACTCACAGGAGGGCTCCACCAGGCACCATGTCTTACCGCCACTGGAACGCTTTTCTGAGAGGATTGATGTGGAGTGCGGGGTGCTGTACGTAACGGAGGTGGAAAACTTTCCGCTGGTGGACGGCTTTTTCTTTGTGAAGTCAAATCCAATGACGCTGGTTGGGCTGCGGATGACTACGGCGGGTGGGCATCACACCACAACCAGCACTGTGAGGCAGTTCACTGAGTGCCTGGCGGCATATTTTAATGGTTGGGAGGAGTTATCCCGAGACATGTCGTGGGAGATGATTTATGTGCAGCACGAAGACAGCACGCCGATGAATGACTGGCAGAGATGTGATGTCGTCGATGCCAATAATGTGAGCGACGATGAAAAAAAGATTGCGGCATTCTGGAAGGAAAAGGTGCGCCAGTACCAAGTGTCAATATCATCCGAAGACGCCCCAAGAAGGCATTAGAATTGAGGAGTAATTAAAGGAATAAATAGGAAAACAAATTAAGGAATTGCGGGGGTAGCTCGAGCTCCGGTAGAAAAACATTGCGGGTTGTTTCATACATGTGGATTTCTGTGTGTGCATACGAGGCATAGTGGGGAAATTGCTCTGTTATGAGAGAATGATTATGACCAGCGGTGATGAAGTATTACTAAGTTGTTTATTTCCTCTTATTTTTTTTTTTGTTCTAAGGCCCATCATTAAACGAAGCATCTTTAAGGGATGGACGACGACCAAGTTCTTTTGTGGAAACAGTGCACTCCGTGTGACTGCCTGGAGTGGGGCGCCGTATTCAATTGAAGATGGAATGGCTTCCTTGTGCCTGCGTCATCGTTGCTTCCCCTTGCGATTTCATGCTTGAATGCCTTATCGCGGCGCCAGGGCCAATTGCTCCGTATTGTCGGGGGAGGCCAGGAGCCAGCAATGTTTCCCT